TGGGCTTCCATTTGATTGCAATTTTTAGATGTATGATTTGCAATAATAATGTGATTAGGTCCAATATGTTAGTGATAACTTGGGCCGTTGTATACCTTACGGGCTATATTATTATAATGTGGTAATTTTAAGTATGTGGGCTGGAATTAAGTAAACCCTAATTAGGGTTATAGTCGGTAATGGACCGACTTTATGATTTCCTATATAATGGTTAGGTCCCCTCTCCTCTCTATATCTGATTGGCTTGTCCCATTGACGACTGATTATTTTGAGGAGTAAGGAGATGAAGATCTAGCTGGTAATATTCATAAACAAAAATGTTTTCCGCATGTATGAATTTCATCTACCAATTTAGAATACGTGATTCTTGATCTTAGCATGATTATTGAATAATTACAACATGGGAATTAGCTAGTACAATATATGAAATGTTATGGACATGAGAGCAGTTTATAGAAGGTAAAAATTGATTCATTACTTATCAAACTTAATAAAGATATGTAAGCGAAACCTGATTTGCTGCTGCACTCAAGGACCTGAAAGTACCGGTGATGAATTTCGGGAACATATACACTTCCCATAATCTATGAACGCAGCCTTTTTGGGATATATCAAGACTGGTGTGAATCCTTCAGCACCTACCCCAGGACACGTGAGCATGCAGATCATCTTTTCTCCAGGCCGAAAAAGAGGTATTAGTACAAGTTTATACTATTAACAGTAGAAGTAACAATTGTAACATTTTATTTTCATCCGACTTGCCGGTGCAAACTTGTGCCTGTGATGGCAGAGGTTGATAGAATAGTTTGACCAGGAGGTAAATTGATTGTGCGGGATGAATCCAGCACGATTGGGAAAGTTGAGAACTTACTGAAGTCTTAGCATTGGGAGGTCCATTTAACATTCTCTAAAAACCAAGAAGGGATGCTAAGTGCTCAGAAATCAGACTGGAGGCCAGACTCATATGAAGCCGTATCTTGATAATAAGACCATCATAAAGAGTACCTCAGACAGAATATTCTGCAGAGCACTCTTTATACACTCCTCCCGCAGAACAGAAAACACTATATCAACTTTTACAGAGAACAGAATACTGGAGTATTTCACCAGCTTTTTGTTCCTTTGGTAGAGAACTATTTTTGGATCATTTGCTAATACATAGATGCTGATACTGTTGTCCATTTAGTTGTATATATTGCTACTTTATGCACTACATATTTTCGTGAGGTATTCTAGGCATATTTATAGCATTACCATATATGATATGTGTTTGTGTGTATAAACTGAAAGTATGAAATATGATTTACAAAGCACCGATAAAAGTATAAGTTTGCTCAACAACTTTATACATTGCTCTACAGACCACATCTGACATATTAAGGTCGTATTCCCTAGATAATTCAAAATATTTCGAGAAAATAACCATATTTTAGCTACGTCTACAACAATCATGAACCAAAAATCACACAAGCCAAGTCTTACACCCAGTAAACTTAAAATCAAATGCATGAAACCTTTTTCACCATTTCATTCAATCCAAAGCTACTTCCACTAAAATATGTAATTGATCTTTTAATTTTTATTTTCCTGCAACTCTCTCAAGACATGATAATATGATATTTTTGACTTGTTCTACTACAATTGTGTCATTTTTTATCCAAGTGGTAGGTAATTCATAAAGGGCACAACCTTCAACTTTTTGTGAATATCCCTCGTTCTTATCCTATCTATTTAATGTGGCCCCCTCATTTCTAATGCATTCATCTTATAGACTTTGTATTACTCAAAGGCCTTCCAATCAACATCACAAAGTTATGAATATTTTACCGCTTGTCAGTACAAACAAATTCTGCAAGAAATATCCAAATTCAAAGTAACATTCTTATGCATTCACAACATAACATCTCAGAACGTTGATCAACCACGATAAAGAACAAATTTAATAATTCACATAGATTGCTATGATTAAGATCACATTAAATACTATGCCTCCCCCTAGATGCCATCTCCATACTCCGCTTATGAGATTGATATTTGTAAGATTAGATAAGATGCGTTAATTTTCCAGCTCTACAATGCCATTTTCAAGCTTTACTGAGAAGGTTCTGCAATTGACCATTGTTGACTGCAGCTTGGACATCTGAATCACATACAAAAATATCAGAGAAAAGCAGTGTCGCTTAATTTATGAAACTTGCCACTAAAGAACAATTTTAACATCAGAGAATGAGGCCTACCGTCAGATTTACCAATGTGCTTTCCTTTCACAAACACTTGCGGGACAGTTCGTTGGCCTACTAGATCCAGAAGAACATCCTGAATCTTATACTGTTGGAGTTTTTGAATCAAAGAGTGGAACTCACCGAATTTAATTTAATCTAACCAGTTTTAACACTCCTAAGCGTTTAGTTCAACTCACCGTATTTTCACTCAAATTACCGGATACACACTTGGCTTACCGTCTATGCAAGGAACATACCGGATTTACCAAAGGAAACTTTGTTTTATAGTGAAACAGGGTACTT